GTTTATCAAATTCTAAAATAATTTTCATTTTGTATGAGTTTGAACAGAATTTAAAAAATGCATCTTAAGGGCCAGGCAAGATAGCCTAGTATCTAAAGTTCTCACCTTGAACTCATCCACCCAGCTCCCTGCTTGTAGCCTGGGAAAGCAGTGGAGGATGGCCCTAAGCCTTGGGACCCTGCACCTGAGTAAGAGACCCAGAAGGGGCTCTGTGCTCCTGGCTTCAGATTGGCTCAGGTCTGGTCATTACTGTCACTTACGAAATGAATCAATGGATGGAAGATCTTCCTCTCTGTCTCTCCTCCTCTGTATGTCTACCTTTCTAATAAAAACAAATATATCTTCAACAAATGCATCTTAAAAGCTCAAATTCAAATTCCCTTGTACAGCTGTTTCCACTGAAATAGGCAGCTTGTTTTTGTAATGCAGAATATGCAGTTCTTAATGTGAAACTTTCAGGTTTACTATTGTCAAATAAGTCAGATAACCATTGTTCTAGGCCTGCAAATTATTGACCTGCAATTGTTGTATAGTAATTCCTAGTTATGAAAATAGCTTTACTGAACAGAGGATGGCCATTGGCTAGTAAGTTTAAGTCTTTTTTTTTTTAAAGATTTATTTTTATTATCTTTTTATTGGAAAGGCGGAGAGACAGAGAGGAAGATCTTCCGTCCGATGATTCACTCCCCAAGTGAGCGCAACGGCAGATGCTATGCCAATCCGAAGCCAGGAGCCTCTTCTGGGTCTCCCACATGGGTGCAGGGTCCCAAAGCTTTGGATCGTCCTGGACTGCTTTCCTGGGCCACAGGCGTGGAGCTGGAAGGGAAGTGGAGCTGCTGGGATAGAACCGGCGCCCAAATGGGATCCTGGGCGTGCAAGGCGAGGACCTTAACCACTTGTGCCACTGCGCCGGGCCCAGTAAGTTGAAGTCTTCTGTGCTACTGAGTGGCCAGGACATAATGATTTGGACAGAAATTTAAGAGTGAGATAGCCTTACATTTACGTAACAACAACAACAAACAATATTTGTGTATATGGCTTTGCAACTTAAATATCAAGAGCAGTTTAAGGTATGTGACCTACAGACTCCATAGTTAGGAAAGTGATCATATAATACAGGATGCATAGGAACACCTGCACATATCAGAGTTGGGAAATCTGACAACTTAAAGTAATAATTTTTGATTCAGATCATCATAAAGGGTTTATCAGAGAGTTAATCTTAAGGATCTCTGTCCTTTACAGATTCACTTGTACCACTATTCTCTTCTTATCAAATGTGCCCTACACAGATGAATTATCCATTTATATAGTTTTTATCAGGAAAGATTATTATAAATCTGTGCCTTCTACTTCAATATCTCCACCTACTTTGGGGCCAGTGTATCAACATTTTAGTAATATATGTATTTGTATTTCCTTAAGTACGCACATTAACTTTCATAGCATACAGCCAGTCTTGACTCATTGCTTTAAATCATGATTTTTTTTTTCCTTTAGAAAGTATTCTCCACAGTTCTGATAATTTATGAGGCTATCTAACAGACAACTAAGTCAGAAATGCTGGGTCCATTTTTGATATTTTTTTCCTGTCTCTCCATCTACCTCTATTTCTGTTTTGGCTAACTATATTGTCTTATTGATTAAATTCCTTTTGTCTCTCTTCCCCATTTTATTTCTAAAGTTTGACACATGAACTCATGAGCAAACAACAGCCCCGTGCTGCTGTTTCTAAGTATACATAACTCCTATCCTATTTCATCTATAAATTGAGTAAGACAATACTTTGAAAGAATGACCTCTTATCATATCACCTTCAATTTGCAATCCTCCAGGAATCTTTTTATTTTAGAATTAAAAGGCTATGCTTGTTAATATTCACAGTAAATTTTTAGATTTCATCACATGGATGTCCTGTTCTGATTTCAAGAACATCTTAATAACCTCCATTAAACTTAGGACTTACATTACAGTGTTGAATTCTAAACTCCAAAGACATTTATGAACATTCTTAAATAACAAAAACAAAAAGGTAGGTGATATTCAAAGTAAAATACACAAAATGCATTGAATGAATTATTTGAGATCAAGTAAAACAACAGTACTAAAGTTGTAAGCCAAGGTTATGGCATGCATGGCTGATTCAATTATAATTTCTTCCCAATGCTAAAGAGTAATGAGGATATGTAGACAGGTTGTGGAACAATCCTATTAATTTTCTATTTAGTTATCCATAATAATTTTATTTGACATTAAGTGTTCCCATGATTTGTAGAAGACATACCTTAGAGGATTTATTGGAAAATGAAAAAAAAAAAGGGGGTTACGAAGCACATGTCTGGTTTTTTTGAACCTTTTTCCCAAATCACCAAAACTGAAGCCATAGCACATAAAGCCAGGAGTCAATGTACTTCATGGAAACTAAGGATCTTCTTCCTAACTTCCTGTAGGGAAACATTGGGATACGCCTTGGCTGAAATTCTAGCAACATAGTCTAAGAAGGGTTAAGCACTTGAGCTAAATCAAAGCAAAATCACTAAAATAGCGAAATATTTGTTTTGTATCAAAACAGAAGTGAAAATCGAGGTTTCAATTAAAAGAATGACACTTTTGTCATAAATGGATACAAAATTTGTGAATATGACTGATTAAATATCCCCAAGACAAAACTAAGAAAGGAATCAAACAGAATAGCTGAAAAGGTATCTTATTACAGGCATGAGGTAGCTCTAATCTCTCAAAACAAAGTGATTGGGGATTATTATATTTTTTACTATATTTGTGCAGGAAAGAGCCTCAACTTTAGTGTGTATAATTCTAGCTCTCCATGTCATTTAAAAAAACAGTTATCAGCTAAATTTTGATATGAAAAAATAGAAAATATGATTCAGTCAGCTCTAGTTCATTAAGCCTAAATCAAACTCACAATTGGGTTTATGTTAATAATCAATTTTATATAAAAATAATTAAATGTGCTTCTGCAAATCACTTTCACTTTTGCATTAAAGAAAGACACAAAGATAACTAGGACATGATCTTTCCCTATAATTGGCCATGATGTTGCTATGAAATAAGAATTGAAACTGAAAAGAAGGAACAAAAACATTAGAAACACGCCATATCAAGAAAAGCAGGCATGAAGGGGATACAAAGGAAAGCAAAAGACTAAAAAAAGAGCTTGCCAATGGCTATTTGAAAACATTAGCTTTCTCTAAAATAACAAAAATGAATGAGAGAAACGCAAATAAAAAGTACATTTCTCCATGGTAGTGACTCTGTGCAGATCTGTCTCTCCACCCTACCAATGCACAAAACTATTATTTCAGATGTCACTCATATTTTAATGAATCGATTACCCCTACATTCATTTCTTTTAGACTATATAGCCCAGTGACACATTATTCTTAATACTCTTTTGTGAGGATGGCATACACAATATCATACATTAAAATATAAGATGGGATAGTAAAATGGAATTATAAAATAGACTCTGAAGAGGAAGGAGCTGAGGGTTTGTGTGTGGTAGGGCAGGCTGTTCCAGGGGAGGCCTGCCAATGAGTAGGACAGAGCAGAATTATGATAATAACATTCAATAAAGAAGGGAGCAAAAGCCTAGACAGTCTGATCTTCTGAGCAGAGGGAATCAATAGGAATGATATAATGATGTCAGAATCATGCTCTGGTTATCAGCATTATCATGGTGGTATCAGAGGGCAGAGAGAATATGATGAAATGGAAGATGTGGCAGTCTAGCACACTGACAGTAAGGTACAGATTGTAAACCTTGTGATGCATGAGAAAGGCTTAGAAGGAGCTTAATGACATATAGTATAATTTATGTTTTACAAGCTGGAAGATTATTTCAGCGGGCAAAATGAGACGTAACAATCACTCGTATGTGATGGCCTTCATTGCAGGTCTGAAATGTGATTTAGCTTAGGATATACTATCAAACCAACTTGCAATGGATTATATTTGGAGTGTAGAGATAAGTGGGGAATCAAGGTAGACATTAGGGTTTTTATTCGAGAAAGTGGGGAGTTGGGGGTCTGTTTATTATGATGGGGAGGCATGGGAGTATGCAGATGGGGACATGAAAAATGAGCTTTGACTTGGACAAATTAAGCTGTACAGCCTAATGCATATTCAAGAGAGGGTTCTATTTAATTTGGTATATGCAGAAGAGAAGACAAATCATAAATTTATCATGGCACTTTTGAAGTATTCAAAAATGAACTTAAGAGAGGAATTTATTGATGCGCAACAAACTAACATAATTCTTACATAATTTTTCAGACAGCTTATTTTATATAAACTTATTGAAGATCTTGTATATTGTATCATCACAAGCAAAAATATGTAATTATCTACTTTTATTTCTTGCAGTAATGATAATTGCAAAATATTTTTCCCCAAATATTTTAATTTTACTTCAGAGAACATTGTTCCGCCTTAGAAAAAAACAGTTTTATTATTCTTAGTCATTAGTTACAAATATTATTGATAATGATTAGATTGGCACAATGCACATGTCTTCCAACCGATAAACTTCAGCGGTTTTTATTATTCGAATTCCTAAGAAAATATATTGCCTTTTGTTTTTTCTACATTTTTCCCAAAAGGTAAAAACAGAACATGCAGAGAGAATGTTATCTATTAAGCAAACTCTGACTTCACTTGGATTAATGTTTTCTTGGAGAAATACATCATTTCAAGTCAAAGTAATGGGATTCATATTTATGATTTGTCTGGCTCTTAGGATTGATAGAAGTAAGCATATCAAGACAAGCTTCAGTTCATGAATTTGTGGGAAAATAAGACACTAATATGTACATCACTATGCGAACAAGAAAATAAGAAAAATGATAAATGCCTATATATTATAATTGCCTAAAGAAGAGATAATCATGACAGTGATTCTGAGATAGAGACAAAACTGCACCAAGTATGTGCAGAGCTGAGAACAATAATATGAAATCCATAACAGGAAAATGACTTACCAAGTGGTTGACCTGCAATGATCCTGGAATTTTCTCCAGCCACAGCAGCTCTTGCATGTCTCTCACTCATGTACTGTACAAATGCATAACCTTTGTGGACTGAACATCCAACTATTTTTCCATACTTCGAAAAAATGGCTTCAATGTCAACTTTCTTAACAATGGCTGTATTTAGATTGCCAATAAAAACACGAGAGTTGATAGACTTGGGGTCATTCTTATTGGTGACGTTGCTGGTTTGTGTTTTGCCAGTCATGATTGGCTTGCCTTGTGTTGATCCTTACAAAAAGAAAGAAAAAATAAAAGGGTAAAGTGTTAGATTGAATGTATGTCACTGGCACGTCAAAGTTTTTCAGTATTACACTCAGGAACCTACCCCAAATTCCAGATTTTCTTTCAAGGAACATTAGATATCACGGAAGGTAAATATTTCAAGTTAAATCATAGAACATACTAATAATCACTTAACATGTGTTTTTAACATGAGCTTTATTTTTAAAATGTTCAAGCTTTGTATTCCCACTTTTAAGTTCCCATTTTTCAGAAAATATTTCTACAATAAGCCACTTTTGTCTATCAGTGAAAAAGAATATCTGAATTTGACTAGAGTCTTATCAATGTTGTAGAAATTTAGTAATGAAACCATGATTTGCTATTTGAGAACATGTATTTTATTTCTATTTTTATATAACAGGTAAGCAAATTATCTATTTCAATGTCAGAGCTGTACTATCGGATACTAATAATTCATTTCATTAGAGACTGTGGAAGAGAACATTTATGAAAACCAGAAAATCAGAGAAGTCAGTATCAGAAAACAATTTTAAAATAAGAGATTTAATTAGAACTGATTTCATGCATGCTTTTTAATAGAAGTGATAGCACATATCAATTCCTTTGTCAGAGAAAAGCATCTTTAGTGAATTTTCATCTGTGATTAGCAGTTTAGTAAACCAAGTAACTGTTCATATTTTATTCTCTACCCATGTTTTAATCTACTTAACTCAATGCCCATATGCTGCCTAAGAAGTGTTTGTGTTTATAAAATGTTTTCTGAGTTTGGCAGAGTGTTTAATTGTGCCTAAATAAATTCAATTAAACTTTTATTCCTAAGTGTTTCTACATTTACATATTTATCTTCAAACCTTAAACCTGTATGTATATATCACACAATAATTTTGCAAATCCTAACATTTTTCAGGCATCCTTTTCTATAATTTTTATTAGCTTACAGAAACTATTATGGTGGAACAATAAAAGTTAAATCAGGGGTCATTCCGAGGGTCCTGCTCAAGCAGTTCTGATAGTTCAACAGGTCTGAATTGCTGCCAATTTCGCCATTCCAATCACAATGAAACCTATTCAGAATCTACTGGCTGACACAGTCTCTTCATTGTCAGGACCCTCGGAGCATGCCTCAGATCGGGGACCTGGGATGGATGGGAGGCTGGGTGGGGCTTTTCCCTTTGTTTCTCCCCTGATCCCAGAGACAGGGGAAAAAATGACTTGGTGTGGAAAAAATGGTGTTACCCAATTTCCTGTAGCCCTTGACCCTTTGTACCCTAATCAACTAAGAAAGATTATTTTAAAATATAATAAAAAAATTAAAAATCAGGGGTCACATACTAACATTGATGAACATTGTTTAAGGTTAACTGGCTCATATACTGTCTTTGGCTACTACACTTTTATTTCAAAACTATTTAAAATATTACAACTCATACAGACTATCATATGGACTTGTGAATATACAGTGCAGTATGCATCTCTACTCTCAGATCAAAGATGGACTCCCACAGAAATTGTTAAATACATCTTGACAATAAGATACTGAACTGTCATTGTCCATACCTACAATGTCAGAATACACTTAAATAGCAGAATGATGGAGTTATGGCTGTTTTTGAAGAACTATATTATTGCAATAATATAGGGGAAATAATTGTGGGGGGAGATTTGATATGGGGGAGAGAGAAATTCTAGAACCTATGGAAATATATCATAAAATAATAACGATAAGTTATAACTGTCAAAATAGTAAGTGCACACAATGTGATTTTTAAACTATTTTAAGCAAATTTCTTAAGAAGTTGTTAAAAGCTTGTGTAGGCAATATGTTTGAAAGTTTACACACACCTTTTAAAGCAACAACTCCTGAAGAAAATCATAATTAAATACAATTTTGTTATTTTGACTTGTTCATTGTTACATCTGGGACCATCAAAGGTTTAAGTCATGATGGACACTCAACATAATACATAATTCCTTAAAATGTACACCAATTTCATAGACAAACATTTGTTTATTTGTGAACAAAAGTGAGATATCATTAGAAACAAAGATTATGATGCTATTCATTGCTTTAGACTAGATACATTTAAGTAATTGCTTCAATCAGATTGACTTGTAATCGAGCCATTACCTCCAGAAAATCAAACAAAATGAGAAAAACAAAGCTACAAATGTATTATATTCAAACTCACATACAAACACTAATGTGCTTCAAATGTTCACAAAAATATCACACCACATTAAAAAAAAACATTTATTTTCGTGTTTGTTGAAAGGGAGAGAACTTTACTGGTTTATTCCCCAATACTCTGCAACAGTGGAAGATGACAACTCAAATCAGGGATTCATATGGATGGAATGGATAGAATTAAATCATCTGCTGCCTACAGGATGCACATTAGTAGCAAGAGTCCCAAACATGGGAACTCAGAAGCTGCACACACTTAAATGGTGTCTTCTACTTTGCAACATCCACCACACTGGGACTTTTAATTCCATTTTTCTATAAACTGCTGGGGTCTGTGAATTAGGTGTGAATAACACGAAGGTGTGAAGAGAACAGCTCCCTGCTTGGCAGGACGCGGGGGAGCTTCCAGCTGTTTGGCAGGGCCAGGTGGATTTCTCACTGGGCACCTTGATGCAGTTTCACTGCGTTTTTGCATGGACACTCAACCACCCCACTAAGAATTCTGTAATCTATTGAGGCATCATTTGCCCCTGTGAGATGGTTATTGCAACCAACGTGAGCTTGAGAGTTAATGTTATTGATAATGTCTTGGTGTTTTTACAAATATGAGTTATTTTCAAAGGTAAACATTTCATTCTAAACATTTTACTGGCTGAACAGAGAAATACTAATTAAATGGAAACAAAAGAACTGTTAGAGTAGGTCAGCTCTGTGATTTTCAGAACACAGTAGTCTACCATTTATGGTGACCCTCAGTAATATGTAATATTATGGTACAGCTGGATTCTGAATTCCCACTTGTCATTTTTAATTTATCCTTTTTGTTCCATGTGGATAATTCTAGTAACTGTAACACCATATTATTAATTATATAATTCTAATCACAACTAAAAGTCATTTAAAACTCACATGTCACTGATCTCATTTGTAAAGACTGACTTCACTGCTTCTACTACCATATGTAGCAGTGACTTTTCTTGTAGTGTTGTAAATTTGCTTTCAACATACTGTGAAAACAAGACTCCACTCATAATGCCTAACTTGTATTTCTCATGTGAGCCTTCAGTTGAAGTGGGATTGGCATGATCACCATCAAGAAGTAACAACCCTTCTGACTCAAACTATTAGAAAGTCAAGCAAACGTAGATAAAGAAACTATTCTTGGGAGGAGAGCGAAGATGGCCGACGTAGGAGGAAGGCTGTGAGGGAGCGTCTAGTGAGAGAGGGATAGAACGCTACAGAAGCAGCAAAGAGGAACAGCAGGGAACCGCAGGGAGAGGTCCGTGAAGCTCCCTGGGACAGTGTGGAGCCAAAAAGATCCACACAACTCGGAAGAACAACGAGAACGGAGCAGGGCAAAGTCAGAGAAACCAACATCCCACTCTAGACCTGCTGAGTCACTTTTGAAAACGGCCTGACGGGAGACACGGCCAGCTCGGAGGCAGGGAGATCAGGGGGATCGTCGCTGGCGGGAGGCCTTCGGCAGCGGTGGAGGCAGACTGCAGCAGCCGGACGTTTGGTGAGTTTGGTGAGCTCGGGGTTGACGTGGCAGCCTCCGCATTTCTCGCCCCCTGCTGAGATTCCAGCCTCTGAGAAGGCGGGGCAGGCGGCCGAAACTGTTGGGTCTGTGTGGAACTACGCACAGTGGTGTTGTGTTGGTGGCTGAGGGGGGCCGCGGGAAGGCGCCTCGGAAGTTCCTGCGCTGAGGGGACCAGTGCGGCTCGGTGCGCAGAGGCAGCTGGCGAGGGTCTGGAGTCCCCCACATCCTGCCTGGTGAGTGCACGAAACCACCGAGCGCACTGGTGAGTGCGCGCCGCACCGAGCGGGCTGGGCGCCCCGCCTGCAGCAGCAGCACCTCCGCAGCACAGGTGTCAGGTGTCAGGAGAGCTCAGATTTGGGAAGTGTAGCGCTGTGTGTCCCTGACACGCAGGTACCACTCCCATAGAGTGAACTGCTCACTTCTCGCCTCCCACCCTGCAGTTCTGAGCGTGGGCGACCCACCAGGAGAGCCCTGAAAACTCCTGCACCAAACTGACACGGTGCGAACCTGCCGTGAAGTCATTATAACAGGGCGCCTGGGTCACTCCTCCGCTAAGGGCCTGTGTGGGGGAGCCACACGGGAGCAGGGGCTCTGAACACCCACACACCACGAGTGGTGGATTCACTGCACAAGAGCCACGCCTGGAAAGTGCCTCACCCACAGTCCCGTGTGTGGGAGACGCACCAGGTGGGCTCTGAAAAACCCTGCAGTCCCTGACACGGAGAACGCAGGGAGAAAGCACATAAAACCTTCTACGCCCTGCGGATTCCCGTGAAGGGGGCACACCCAGAGAGCGCCTCCATCCCTCCACGCCCTGGGGTGTCACACCTGTAGAAGAGGTGCCCAGAGTGTGCCTGGAATCCACTGGGCCCCCAAGGTGGTGCTCTACAGCCCCGGGCCCTGAGAACGCACCAACGGTGCCTTGAAAATAACCACGCCCGGCAACACCACGCCTGCAGGCTCCAATCTCTACAGGAAAGCACCTGACAGCCCCTCAACACACGGGTCCATTTGCCTCACCAGAATACACCAACGCAATGGGAAAAACCACCAGAAAGAGTTGTGCTCCAGATGAAAGAGCCAGCACCCCACCAAACAAGGGCCAAAAGCCATTATCAATATCGACGATACGAGATGAAGACATGGAAGTGTTACCAGCAAAGGAATTGATGAAAATAATGCTAAAATTTCTCAGAGACGTGGACACAAAGCTGGAAGACTACCAGAACCGCATAATCACCGAAATACAACAAATCAAAACCAAACTGGACGCCCAAGATAATAAGATTGAAAGCCTCATCAACAGAATAAATGCGGCAGAGGAAAGGATCTCTGAAACAGAAGACACACAAAATGAAAGTGCCCAGCGAATCAAACAGCTGGAGACAAACCTCAGCAAAACTAATAAAATGATGCAAGAGATGAAGGATTACCTTAGAAAATTGAATATTCGGATCATCGGCCTCCCCGAGGGAGTAGAAAGAGAATCTGGGATGCAAGCAGTGCTCGATGAAATTATACAGGAAAACTTCCAAAACACTTGGAACACGAATCCACCCCGCATACAGGATGGACAGAGAACTCCCAACAGACATGATCCAAAGAGATCTTCACCCAGACACACGGTGCTCAAGTTCTACTCCAATGAAGACAAAGAAGGAATCCTGAGACAAGTACGAAGTAGAGAAAAGATCACATACAGGGGAAAACCCATCAGAATCACTGCTGACTTCTCCGAAGAGACCCTACAAGCAAGGAGAGAATGGACAAAGATCTTCCAAGTCCTGAAACAAAACAACTGTCAACCAAAAATAATCTACCCAGCAAAGATCTCATTTGTATATGAGAACGAAATCAGATACTTCAATAGCAAAGAAAAACTAGAAGAATATGTCTACACAAAACCAGCTCTGCAAAGTCTCCTTAGAAATGCGCTAGTCCCAGACAAAAAGGAGGCAAATCACAAACAAAGTTGGCAA